TGAAATAATTTAACACCAATACTTTCTATTCCATCTTATGTAACTATGGACTCAATCTTCCACTTCCTTGTTCCTCTGTGTGTGCAGTCATATAGGTTCATCCTCTTTATTTTATCAGTCTCCTGTCAAGTGAAGCCATTTTGAGGGGAAGCAGAAGTATTTCGTATGAAGCATGCATGATATTAGCTGTGTTTGTCTAATTTTGGTTTCCATCTTTTTGGTTATAAAGATCAAGTTCAATCACAGCAATCAGTGCTGTTCTCAGCATAATTGATGACAATAGTTCTGCTAAATTTCTGAGTATTAAATTTAATTGCAGAAGGCGAGACGTTTCGGCAGGGGCCGAGTCTGATGTTTAGACCTTACAAGTGGAGCAACCTGTTGGCTCTAAGGAAATGTTCAACCGAAGTCTACTTCTCATGCAGGAACCAGGCTGTCACTTGTGTTTGTCAGATCACTTACGTAACAATAGCAGAAACACAGGTTTCCTAAGCAAGGGCATCTCCATGCCATGTGGCACATCACTGAGCTGGTCATAAAGACCCAAAGTGGATCAAGGATGAGGTAGACAACAGCAGTATTTTCAGTCTACAAACAGTATAGGAGCTAACTTCATCTTATTATTCACAAACTCTTCGCATTGCTATTCTCATCTCTGTATTATGAGATGAAGTTTTCTAATAATCATAGTTTAAGAAATGTATTTCCAGAAAGGCTTTCTCTTTTTTCCCTAGTGAAAACTTATGTGAATTACTATAAAAACAACAAACTATTTTGTTTCTTTATCTTTAGATATAGATATGAAAGCAATTTAAAGTTATATATATGTGGCTGCATTTTATACATAAATACATATATATACATATATATCCATCGCTGTCGAGTCTATTTCAACTCATAGTGACCCTGTAGAACAGAGTAGAACTGCCCCACAGCGTTTCCAAGGCCGTAAATCTTTATGGAAGCCGACTGCCACATTTTTTCTCCCCGGCTGAGCAGTTGGTGGATTCAAACCGATGACCTTTCGGTTTGCGGCCGAGCTCTTTAACCGCTGAGCCAAGAGGGCTCCTCTTCAGGTTAGCAGTGGAGTGCAGTTTCGCAATGGAATGCGTACAGTTTGC